TGGTCCAGCTCACATCTGAATCCAGAGCTGTTCACCTCCCGAGTCATGCCCCAGTGTGATGGAAATTGACACTTCGAGTTGAATATTGGTAGGATTTCATGTGAAAGGAGGAAAAAAAATAGAAATGAAGATCAACTTAGAAAAGATGACTCTGACTGCAATTCTGAGTGATACTGAATTAACATGTTAATTTGACGTGGGTGCTGAGGGCCGGGGAAAGAGAAACCTTTGCTCTGGACTTTTCTCAAATTGGAGGAAAGAGCAACTAACAACACATCGCTATTCTGTAGACCTCCTGCTACTGCTGAGAGTAGGAATGGACACGCCTTTGTATACGACTTATGGGGATGCTGTACTCCGTTAAGTTATTTATCGATTTTTGAAGAATTTAGATACTCAGCATGCATGGATTTGCATATTTCTTCCTTGTTTCCTCTTTCCTTCTATGTAGCATCAGATCAGTTTCTTTTTCTTTTTTAATTCAGAGGATATAACCTCTTCAGATGAGTGTGTGGCTCCTAAATTGAGTTGTTTTGCCTCGCTGCCCCCTACACTTAAACTCCCAGACTTTTGTGCGGGTTTTACCCAGGATAACAGAGCACCCCGCAGCCATCTCTTCGCCTTCTGCCCCAGCGTCTTTGGTACAGCATGATCCTGGCAGGTTAGAATTGTCCGTAGCGCCCGCTAAGGGCTGAGCTTGTGTATGAATTATCTCCTTTCCACTCGCTTGCATCACCACTGTCATCCTCATCGTCGTTCACATCTGTGCAGGACGTTTCATATAGCACAGCACATTTAAATATTTCTAACAAAACAGGCAACGTGTTTACTGTTATAAGCAATTAGCACATGCCTGCTTATCAGACTTTAATGTGCTTCCTCATCTTGTAGAAAACTTGTTTAAATGCACATAGTAGTCCGTATGACGGGACTGGCATGCAATAATTTATATTCCTAATAAGCTCTTTCTTGATATCAATGCTGCTAATCTGTGAACCCCTCTTTATTGGCAAGGCGGCACTGTTAATTGGTTACTATTTCACAAGTGCTATTAACAGCGTAACTACCTTATTGGGAAAAGCAAGTAGAAGGTGTGACGCCTTTTTTATGAATCATCAACTTAGGCAACCTTGAGTGGCATCTACAATAACCTCTGAGTTCCAGTTGATACTTTTTCTACTCTACCATCTCCCAGATTTATTACAGCCTATTCTCTACACTGAAAAGATATGCAGTCCTTAATTTATGATATTCTCATAATTTAACAGTATCTAGCCAATAATATGTTTTCACATTTCTTCCAAAGTAAAAAGCTAAAAGCACTTTCCTTCAAAATTACCATAAATGTTGTAGTCTCTAGTTATATAGAAAACAAATGGACAACAGATATTTCATGCTTTCATTTCTTTCCCATCTGTTTAAATTTAACATATTTAGCTAAACTATACATTCATGGTCCAGTGCATTTTAATCCTTGCAGATTCTATGACATTGGAACTCTACCCTCTGCTTTAGCAGAAGGTCTCATTTTCCATTGCTAGTGCTAGCAGTGTTCCATTTGACATTTGATGCTCCTGAGATTTTTATAGAATCTAGGTTATGAGATTCTCTCGCCACATATTTTTGAATGGGGGTCTGTGTTACTTTTCCCAGAGGTCTTCTGCATTGTACTTTGCTTTGATTTGATTTTGATTATTTAAAAAAAAAGAGCATGCAGTGATAAAAACCTTTTGCATAATAATCACTGTTGACTAGAGAGCTGTTTGTTTTACAGAGAATTTTTTTCAGAGGAAAGATAGTATGAATGAATCCCTCTTGTACTCTCATGTTCTTAGTATTTTGTTTGATCATCTCAAAATGTATTGTGAATTAGGAAATATTCTTTTTCCTCGGAAAAGTGAGATTTTTATGGAACAACTTCCCAAAATGATACAAAGAGTAAGTGTTAGAGCTCACATTCACACTGGGATCTTGGCGATTTGATTTCAATCCTACAACCTCTATGCTCTTTCCACGTATTCAGTTGATTTAAAACTTGCTTCAGTGCAAAATTCAGTCAGTTTGTAGGTATTATATACCTACCTGTAGTACTTAAAGACTTTGAAATTTCATTTTATAGCAATCTGCTGAGGGATTACTTTGGCATTCAACAAACATTTACATAACAAGCCCTCGCCATTTCTAAAGATGCTAGGTATAATTTTAGTCTTTCTTTAGTCTGGGTATTGTCATAAGCACTGCCACCACCACGTGACTGCCATCATCCATGATATATGGGGTATGACAGTAACCAAGGGATTACCACGCTGTAGGCACAGTGTCAAATTCTGCACCTCTGGTGATCTTATCCATTGCTTACTAATCATCAGCCATTGAGATTTTGGGCATTTTAAACCAGGCATGGTATGCCCAATATTTAAAAGTCAGTATCATCTTTTGAAGCAATGCTATTGTTTTACTAAAAAAATAATTCCAAGAGAATTTGAAAGTAAAACTGTCAGCATTTTCTTGAGGAAACATGCTGGGGAAGAGTTGATTTGTGTTACATCCTAGAGGCTGGTTATGACAGACAACAGAACGTAGCCTCGTACAGTTACTTCTCCGTTTGCCAAACTGACTTTCTAATGATTCTGTGTAGAGTCAATGTTGGAGTTTTGGTGCGCAAAATGTTTTAATGACAAATGAGAAAACAAAGAGGTGTATCCTTCATATCAAATTGTCCTCATGTGACCCACATTATTGCTTTTCTTCAAAACAAATATGACTTTCCATCAAATATACCTATTTTTTATACTAATGCTTCTATAGTCCTCAGAATACATAATTGGTTTAAAATCATTATAATTGTGTCAGGTATTACTTTTATAGTTGATAATTGCACATTGACACCATTTGAGCAGTTCACTAATAATTTTCTTATTTTGACACTGTTTCCATGGAGTGCATGAAATTATTATCTAAAGCACCTGAGGCTTCAGCCACTGGCTTCGCACAGTTTTCCTTAGGATGAGGCATTTAACAGGGCACTGAAAGTCTTTCTCTCAGCTTTTCTGTAGTGCTCTCACTCAAAACTTCTTTTTGTTACTTTGTACCGTGAACATCTTTTTCAAAAAAGCCTGAATCCAAAGAAATTGGTCATCTGGACAAGAGTATTGACTTTCCTCTGTTTACTTCTATTTTGTAATGTTTGTTACTATTCTTGGTTTGAAATTGGCTTTCAGGTGAGAGCGCAACCTCTGAGCTACCCGGCCCTGAGGCTGATTTAATGTTTCAAATCTTATACAGGTGGGACCTTTCCATTCACAGCCAGCTGGCACATTTCAGCTGGCAGAAGTCAATGTCTTTATGTGAAGCCAATTTAATTGAAGTTACTTACAACTCAAGACTTTTCTTTGTAGGATTTTGTCCCAATTCACTAGATACTGATTCTAAAATTTGTACTGTCAAGAACAGAAATATTCTGTAATTCACCTTTTCCGTGATCTATTTTAATGAATAATACAAACATGTACCATTTCTATTAATACATGTTTGCAGTACATAATGTTCCCATTCCCTGTGTGGGATTCACATTTTAATCCCTTTTTTCATCCCCTCTGCCTGTTTTTCCTTCTCTCTCCATCTTTTGATCCACTTCTCATCTGAGAAAGACCTAATTCCTATTATCTATCTTTTATTTTGTTCTTTATTTATAATTTGGGTTTCTCATGTAAGAGAAACTGCACAATATTTTTAAATCAACTGTTGATAGCATTAAAATACAATTAAAAATAATTAAAAGTGGCATTTTATGATAAAATAATAATTAATTTGTATGTCTATTTAAAGCCAGGGAAAATGTTTTTAGAATATTTAGATCAACAGACTAATACTAGAAAACTGGATTACTATAAAATTCTGTGTTTAAGAATTAAAACAATATTGCTACTTTTAAAGTTTATCAACAAGAAACATTTGTATTGTAATAGCAAGTGTAAAACTTTCTAAAGGTTGGTTCTTAATGCAAAACTTTCCCAACATCTTTTTGTTTTACTTGATGATGGATTTGCTAACATGGAAAAATAATCTTGGCTACAAAAGAAAGTAGAGCAAGAACAGACAGTGTTCTTCTTGTAGGACCAACGAACGCAGGCGTGATTTGTCAACATTTGTCAATGTATCTAGAGCTATCGGTACAATAGATTAACAAATAATCAAATTTATTGGAGTAAAAATATAAATTCAAAAAGTCTTCTGACTTTTTCATTTGATGGATAGAGGTGGCTGATGGTCCATAGTATTGACAAAATCCAGTCAGTTGAAATTGTCTTCAAAATAGTTACAGTCAGATTCGATTAGGAGAAGCCCTCAAATTTCAGGGTCTCACTTGACATTCATCTTTGTGGGCAAACAAAGAGCTGTCATTTATAATGTCTATTCTTTTTTTTTTGTTGTTTTTTTTTGTTTTTTTTTTGTTTTTTCTCCGGTACCGGGAACCGAACTCACGACCTTGCGCTTGCTAGGCAGGCGATTTGCCGCTGAGCTAAATCCCCAGCCCCTATAATGTCTATTCTTATTCGTTGCATTATTTCTTGTAGAATCACAGTGCAGTGTAGACCTAAGATATGAAATAATCCAGTTTTTGTTCCATTGTCTTGTGTGTGCTGTGTGTTTTAAAGCAATTATTTATGTCATGATTACAGCTCCATATGTAACTAAAGGTGACTTGAGCTAATTAAAGAAAGTATTTTCAGGATGCAAATTACTTGCAGTGAGAGTTTCTGAGACTAACAGCTTTGGGGAAGGATGGTAGGTAGGGCTCTGACGTCCACAAAATTCCTTTGATACAGCTCAGTGTGCTAGAGAGGAGGGTGGGTCTTGGATTCATATCAGCAGGAAAACTAGCTCTGGTACTGGAATAGGGAAGGATGGGCTGAAGGGTAGTCCACAGTCCATTCACTGTGGAGCTACCCCACAGTCCCTTCTGTTGTAAATGTGTCTACCTCTGTCTTGTCTTTCAGTCCTCCACAAGCAACCAAGAGAAGTGTGTCTCTGTTTGCTGGAACTTGGCCGGATTGCAGCCAGGTAGGTCAAGGTACTGCTTATATTTCTAGACATTTCCCATCTCAGTGTCCAAGCAACCAAGAAGCTGAAAGGCTTTTCATGATTGAGATTTAACCTGGACATTGAGGAGCTACTTATTTAAATATGACAGCTGTGAACATCGTGAAGGCAGTTGTTTAAACTAAAAATATGCTAGATATTTTTAACACCATGATCTCCTTGTGAAAGCACCATGTCTAAGCATGTGTTAATATCCTTTAATCAACTACATTTCCCTTTAAACCTTCCTTCTAGGAGGTGTGACAGGATGTTGTACAAAGTTTTATGTGACAGTTTACTGCCTTTAAGTCTATTCCTATCTTCTGTACTTCTTCCTTCACACCCTTGTTTGCTGTTTATTTTTTAATAATTTTCAGCTTCTTTTTCCTCAATTCCTGCATGAAACACCTCATCCCTCAGATCTTTCAGTTTCTGATTCTAAATGAAGAGGTAGTTTTAAAATTATTCTGTTTTTCTTAGAGAAAGAGATTTGTAAAAAATTTTCTTTCCCCGCTAGGGGAAGAAAAACAAAAGTAACAATAGCTAAAGAAGTAGTGGAGAAGAGCTGACTAGGTCAGCAAACTTGTTTTGGTTTCATATTTTCCCATTTATTAATTCACAGACCAACACACAGAGCTACTGGTAGTTCTATGAAAACCAAAGAATAAGAAATGAATATATAAATATTTGAAGAGCTCTTGATCCAGAATAAAAATTCAGAATTAATGAGATGTTTTCTGACCTAGATCTGGCTGTTCTCTTAGGGTTGAGATGAGATGAACCAATAAAATACAGGGAGAGGCAGCAGTAGTAATGCATTCTCAAATAGAGAATTTATGTAGACAATCAAGGGGAAAATATAATGAATGCACGTGAAGAAACTACTGCACAGTTAGAAAATCAACTGCCAATAAACAGACCTCCCTCCCACGATCCAAGAGAAAATTGTAACCTGTATTAAGAAGTGGTTTCAAATTCTTTAAATCATCATAGTCAATATAATTTTAGTGAACTGTACATCAAGTATACATTTCATTTTACCATAGGGATTGGACTGAGAGACGTTGCTTTAATATTTTTAAAATTCAGGTTAAATATTACTGAATATTATTCTACATGGAATAAAAATAAAACCACTGTGTGATATTTGGGGATCTCCACGCCTTGCCACATACTCATAATTCATACTCAGAGAGGAGCACAGATCCAGTTCAGGGTACCTGCTGCTTCTCCTTTGTGCTGCCTCACGCGTGAGTTCTGTGCCAGAGCAGGACGAGGCTCTGCTGCTCCTACGGCCTTCCAGGCGCTCTTCTCCACCTCTTGGGGCTTTGGGCCTCCAGGAAGAGCGCTGAGTCAGAGCAGACCCGGGAAGCCAGGAGCTGTCCTCCAAGAAACAGAAAGTTAATTCTCTACAGTGGAAGAGCAGACACAAAGGCAAATCCCAGCACATGAGCTGTTGCACGTGAGATGCATAAAATGTTGCCATGAAGTGTGCATAAAGTGTTGCTTTACTCACCTAAATAGATGCGTCAGATAAGCACAGTGTTTCTGAAAGTTTCAAGGTGCACAGAGGGAGTTGTGCGATCTCCAGTATGACTTGGTATTTGCCATTTCCCACTCAGTGTATAATGATTTGGCTGTTTTCTAGGCATAATTTGATTTTGTAACTATACTTTTTATTATACAAGTGCTCTGATTAGGAAGGAAAATTTATAATTATGGCTGAGTAATCAAAGGAGAAGACAGGCTATTCAATGAAAAAAGATACCTCTAATAATCATGTTTTTTCCAACTCTGAGTCTGGCATCAGTGGCCCTTTGCCATAAGGTGTAAAATAAATTAAAAGGAACGGGAAGGAATCCTAGTGGGCTTAGCCATTGTAAGGTGGGATATCATGCAGGATTCTCCTCATCACAAAATATTTTAAAATTGCGATTATTCTAGACTACTCTGTCCACATCTTGTTACCATGAAAAAAAAAAAAAATCAAAAAAGTACTGATATTATAGTGGAATTAAGTGAAGACCATGATAACCCTTATGTTACATATTTATTTTGTGATGTTTGTTTTCTGTCTTCCTCACGCACTTGAGTGTGGTGAAGTATTGCACACGTTTTCATCAGGAAAGAAAATAAGCTGTTATCTCCATCAAGGTGTTCACTTTTGTTACTGCGTGCAACATTCGGAAAACAATTGAATACCTCGTGGATTGAACATTGAACTATAACTGCCTATTTACGTTTCTCCCTGAATATGTTTGAAGGGTTTTTAAAAAAATTTTGATGGAATTTCAACTGTGCTTTACAAACGGCAGCTCAATGAAATCAAATTGCACTAACTCGGGTGTCAAAGCACGGTAGTTGAAAGACAAAGAAGAAAGGCGCCCTTCCAACTCTAACGTTGCTCCTAAATTTTGCCTTAGGTATATCTATGTCTGTATAGCTCCACTTTTGCTCCATCCTCCCCGACTCCTCTACAGAGGATGACACAGCTACTAAATCCAAAGAGCTTTAGTGAAAACTAGAAGGGATTTTGGAACAGCTCTCAAGAATCACAATGCTAATTTGCATATAATAACACATGAATTTTGATGTGTAAAAAAATTCCCACTGAAATCTTACGAGTTTTGTGTTTGTCATCACTGACAGAGGACACTGTCCTGTGTCTGGCTGTCAGAATTTACTTCTCCGCGTTTCATGAATGTCACCTTAAACACATCAGCATCGCTTCACAGCTGGTTCCCAGGGTGTTTCTAAGTCTCTGCCCGTGGCGTCTGCCCGGGACACAGCCAAACCCCTCCTAGGGCCATGGGCTTTCTGAGTTACGAGATGGGAGACTGAGACACTTATTTTAATTCCTATGGGTAAAACTTTTATTTTGAACTACACAGAGTTGTCAGTACTGGAGAGTGGAATCCTTGCTAATTTCAGAAATATGTCAGCTTCTAAATGTAAATATGTATCGGTCTCATGAAAAATAAGGTACTCAGCAACAGCAACTCAATAAAACCTCAAATTTTCATGGAAGTGTTTCGACATTAATCTCCAGAAACAGAAAAAAAGTTACTAGGGATAGTATTCCAGGCTGACTGCAGATTTAAGATTATTTTGATGATAAAAATAAAAACTTCTGATATTTTGATTTGGTGTCCTAATCAAGAATCAAATTCACAGTTGAACTTTTAATGATTTTTGGGTGCTGTTTTGATTTGGAAAACATTTTATGACCACTCAGAAGAAAATCCTGCGTGACATTTCCTTTAACCTTCTATTTCAATCCCTCATCTGATAAAGAGGAGTGTTACTTAAAGGGAAAGTATTCTTATATCAAGATTACTGATTATTTGTCTTATTTAAAGAACTTGAACTTCTAAGAATTTTATATGCCTCATGTGATCAGATTTTTTTCTAATTATCAATCTATCTTTAAATTGCTTCAAAATAGATGATAAATTAGGCAAAAGGGATCTTGCAAGAATCTATAAACTGATACATGCTTTATCAAGAAGAATTTGTCTATCAAATTTGTTCTTTGAACACAATAAAATAGGTTCCAGATGGGGTTTTTTGTTGTTCCAAAGCTACAGTCTATTGAAGTCTTCTAAGTATGCTCAGTAAATTGTCTAGTGTGCAGTTTGGGGATTCAGTTATTTCGTATAGATCAGTCTCAAAAGTTGTGTCAGAAAAATGAGAAAGCCATTCCCGGAATCTCATCAGAAAGTCATTCATCAAGAAACTTTTTCTCAAGCACTTCACTTTTTTTAAATGACACCAAAATAAATATTTGCCTGGCGTATTTGTCCTAATTTTTATACCACTGAGGTTTACATGAGAATTTGGTTTCAGTAGATTCTCTGTTTCTGGATCATTACTTTGAGTTTTACTCAGCTTGAGAATAACAGGTACTCCCTTCTAAAGCTCTGAAGGCTAGTAGCTGGAACAGAATGAACAAGATAGATTTGTGAAAACCTTGTAGACAAAACAGAAATGTGAAGTGCTAAAGTTAATCACCGAAAGGAAAGTACAGCAGCTTTTTGGAGAATAGAAAAGAGTTCTGTTTGATGGCTCAGTCGGCTTGCAGGTGCAAGTCCTCAACCCCAGGGGAATCCCATGATTTACAGCCTGTTGACAACTCCAGACAGACAGGAAGCCAGTGAATAGTATTTAAGTGTGCATTTTGGGACTGGCCAACTGTATTTTAGGCAGCTTGAAGTATTCAAAAGCCAATATAAGCAGAGATTTGGGACTTAGGGTTGATTTTCTATGTTTAGTGGCATAGCTAATTTTCAGCATTTCCAGATAAAGAAAAATCTCCAGAGGCAAGATTTTCCATGTGTGACTTTGGTACCAGTTTTATTCAAACCTAGTCAGCTTTGTTTGTGTTGGACATACGCTTGAGCCTGTTGTGACTCTAAGAGCATGCATATTCTTATTTGACTTTATTAAAAAAGACAAAGCTCGTGCAACTTGCTCTTAAAAGATGGCTTATGTCCACCAACAATTACAAATGAAATCACATTTTCCTCTTGGCCTAATTTATACTTGCAAATACCGTATTTTCCCTTGTGATTGACTGTGAGTTGGCTGTGAATTGTGTATTAAGTTGTTCAAGCCTTACAACCAAGTTTATATTATTCTCTTAAGAATATTCAGCAAAACAGTCATACAATCAGTTCTACTTTCCTGGAACTAAGAATCCACAGAAGTCCGAAGAGACTAGGAAAGGGTGCTTGCCGAGGCTCACCTAACTAGCCAGGGGCAAGGCTGAGTTTATAATTTGATCTGTAGTGCTCCAATCCTGAAATTCTTCTGATAGCTCGCCATTCTAGAAAGCTTTTAAAGAAAGCAAATTCTTCTTTGAAGGGCGTAACAGAAGTGAGCATACCACTTCCTATCTTAATGGTGCTTTACTTCTGAGTCTATTAACCATATGTCATTGGATGGTGGGTATTTTAAATAAACTGAAGATTTGCTAACAGACATGGAGGCCTACCATTTCCTAGTTGTACAAACTTTATTAAGTAATTTAATTTATAAACATCAATCTCAGGGGTTGTGCTGTGCATGAGAGACTGTATCAGGCATATAATACTATTGTAATTTCTTGGAACGATGTTAAAACGTAGGAATTGGAACTCTCTTTTTAAATTGAAATAAAACTAAACCTCAGGAATAGTGTGTATCAAGATGCCCAGTAGCACCAGACATGTGGAAGGTTTTCAGCAGCCGTGGCTTTTCTAACCTTCCTACTCTTTTCTTCCTCCACTGCTATAATAGACCTCAAGGGCAGTGCATTTTTACCTGTTCTTTCCTGATAGAAAATAGACTTTAGAGCCTAGCTGATTTACTCAATTTGAGACATAGGTTAGTGGTATTATGAGTTCAAGCTAGGTCAAGGAACAATAGTAAGCATACAGCATCTCCATGTGAGCATTATTAGCTCTTATACATGACAGTGAGAGGCTCTATAGAGTTTAGCATAACTAATGTTTATTCCAATATTTTTTAAGATGTGTTTTAGTTTTGGACAGGGCTAACAGTCCTTTAGGAGAATTGTTTATTTTTTTCTTGGCAGACCAGTTCTGTACATTTAAAGATGACATGTTTTATTAAAGTGATATATGCATTTAGGAAGCCAAAGCCGTGACATTGGATTTACATTTGAAACCTGACATCACTATTATACAAGAATAAAGAAACTTTCGGAAATTTATATAGTAGGTGTTAGGTACCTACTATGTGCTGGGGTTGGTGCCAGATGCAACAGACAGACAGTGGTCTCTTCCATTACACAATTTGCAGTCAGCACATGCTTCCAGTGATGTCTCATTAATTTGTTAATATGTACAAAAGGTGAGAAGTATGACACATGGTGGTTGGGTTTCTATAGCTAATAATTACTCATCAAGGAGTAAAAAATTACTCCAAAAACCAGAGGTTGTCCCCAGAGTGGTAACTCTTCAGCTGAACTGTGCCAGCTAGAGCTGTTTTGTACTGAATTCTAATATAAATTTACCGGCTCTCATAGGGCACCTATGTAAATTCTGAAAAAAAGAAAAGAATATCAGATGAAGTATCAAATATCGCTTTCATAACTGAAAAGGCCCCACTTAACATTGTCTGTGATTGAACTCTGGCATTAGGCCAATTAACTCCCTAATCACAAGCAAGACTGAATCAGGGTGGGAGGCCTGTGGAATGCTCCCAATGGGCAGCTGCCTCACTGGAAGAAAAAGGTAAACTGAGTCAGACATGCTCGATTATTCAAACCCTTTCATTTCACTGTGGGAGAGTGAATAATGAAGCCAGAAATCCAGGAGTTAAATGACTTGAATACCCTCTCTAAGAACAGGCCATCAAGAGTGGAGAAATTGCTTCCCCATTGACATTTGCATTAAGCACATATTCAACGATGCCAATTAAAATAACAAACTATTCAAGTAGAACAAAAGTTCAAAATTTTACATTTGGTGATGCTTTCATACAGTATTCAATCAAAGGTACAAATAGTCATCACAGTCTTTGCTTATAGACTGTTTGCTTTGGATATTATCTGTAACATGTTTAATCTCCAAATGACTGCTTTCTCTCCTTTCTAATAAAAGGTCACCAGAGAAAAATGCCAAGGAAAATTGACACCAGCTCTAAAGTCAAAAAACCTGAATTTGAGTCCCCATTCTGCTCCTAGCTATTTATGCACCTTCCTGGGAGGTTGATTATCTGTTACACTGGTGTATAAATAGCTTATCTGTTACAATGAATGAGTGTAACGAGATGACCCCAAATATTCTTCACAAATCTCAAATTCTAGAATTATGTTTGCTGTCCTCTACCTGTGTGCAGCTGATGTGTGCCTAGGAAACTAAACCTAACTTTAAGTTTAGCTTAAGAAAAATATAATTAGGAATGACACAAAGCTGACAGCAAATATGTGTCTTTCTTTTTGAATTCCTGTGTCAATTATAAAGAAGGAATCACAATTTTTTCATATCATTACTATTCCTTGATTATGGGGTTTATTATGGGAAGATGGCAAATGAATGCATCTTAATCCATTTCATCCCAGCTCTGTCCTTTTCTTTCTTCTCCTGTTTGCCCCTTTCCTGTCTCGGGAAGTCTATCTCCTGGATTCCCACATTACTCCTTCTAAGTCTAGCTAGTTTTATTTACCATGATCTCCAGTTCCACCCATTTTCCTCCAGATACCATGATCTCATTCCTCTTTATGGCTGAGTAATATTCCATCATTTATACACATACCACATTTCCTTCTTCCATTTGTCTGTTCACAGGTATCTAGGCTGTTTCTACAGCTAGGCTATTATGAGTTGCACTACTTTACCTTCATACTTAAAAAACTTGTATTCAAAATTGAGTTTACCTGCAGCACAAATATTGTTAAAGCTGGTCAGTGTGGAAGTTAAAGATAAATATCCCATAATTATTCATGTTGTTAACGCACTCACATACAGCATTGACTATTTTAATGTATTTTACTGTGTCATCATATGTGTGCTCATATATGTGAATGTATACATACAAGGCTTGTATTTGTGATTTTCTATGGCTTGCAGGATGCTAACCTGAGAACTTACTGTTTCACTGTCAGACATGGTTAATGTTACTTTTTTATTTTAAAGAGAATAATAAAAAATGACAATAGCAAAATACCAAGGACACAGACAAAAACAAAACAAAGCAAAAACAATAAACATGAGACAGGGTTGCAGAACAAAGTGATAGGAATTAACAGTGGTCATTATATTACATATTGTTATCTTCAACTAAGTTGCTCAGATTATCAAATGTAAGAATGCAAGATCAATTGAGCCATTAAGGAGAATAAAAAATAATAAAATAAAACATTAGAAATGATCCAGAACTGCACTAAACAAGATGGTAGAAATTCAGCAATGATTGCTATATTGCATATTGTTGTCTTCAAATTAGTTGTTCAGATTACCAGATATAAGCACGCAAAGTTGGTCAAAAAATTAAGCATTAGCTGTTCCTTTCAATGCACCAGTAGACATCAGCAGTACAGTTATCCCAGTTATCCTTCTATGTGCATATACATATATATTGTTCCTTTATTTATTTCTTTCTTTTCCTCCTTTCCCTCATCCCAGGTGCTCCTTCCTTTGAGCAATTTCTTTCCCTTTCATGACATCTATACTCATAAGTGAAATAAATCAAACCCACATGTGTAAACATTGTATTGTCTCCCTAGTGTAAGAACCTGAAAGAGTAAAGGTTACTTTTAAAGGCAACCGCTTCCTACGGTGGTGCTCATAATCAAATGCAATGTGTGGTACTTATGTCACGATGACTTACATGTGTATTGACCTGGTACTTTTTTAAAGGTATGGTGTGGAGCCTCCTGGCTTGATCAAATTGGAAAAAGAGATTGAACAAGAAGAAACACTCTCTGCTCCTTCTCCTTCACCTTCTCCTTCATCAAAATCTTCTGGAAAAAAGAGTACAGGAAACTTACTGGACGATGCAGTAAGTAAAATCAGTCAGAATTCTTACCTGCAGTTGGTTTTCTTCTAACTACAAAGCGTATCCTGCACAATTTCATATCAGTCTGACTTTACCTTTCCTCTGTGTCCTTGAAAGTCATTTTAAACTCCCATGAAAAAGTTTGCAGTCTTACAGTTCATTTTGAAGTTCAAAATTGAGCCAATCTTTTATAATAAAGTGTCACTTAATTCTGTGGAGTAATGTCTAAAATGTTAGGAAAATAAGTTAACAATTTAAAAATGATGTCTGAGAACACTTAAGCCTCTTTGTTACTGGTTCATGATTCTTCTCTTCACAGATAAGAAGCGAAAAGCACAAAATCTTGAGGGCTGTTAAAAAAAGAAAAAGAAACACCTGGTAGAGAAGATAACTGCGCTTTATTGACTGTCTGCTCTCAGTCAGTCTATCATTGTTTTAGCCAGAGCTCTCAGATCTGAGAGGCAGGTTTCTTAGTTAAAGAAATGGAATCTTAGTTGTGTAACTTGTTTAGAGAAGGACAGGCACTTAGATTCCAGTACAACTCTGTCAAACTCTCTGAAGTTTCTCTACCAAGCCAGTCTTTGAGTCATGGTTTTGGGAAGTTAGGACATATTTTAATAACACCCTTATAATCCCAATAAACACTTTCTAGGTATAACAACAAACAGGATAAATTAAAATTCTGAAAGCACTGCTGCTGTCTGCTAAGAACTAGTTGGTTATGATATTTACTGTGTTTGATGGTACGCATACACATTCCCACATACACTCGTATTTTGAGTGCAAATGTAAAAATACTAGTGAAGAAGAGAAATTATCAGGCACTGAAATGTTGCTGATGCGAAGTTTTAACTGATGGACTTTTGACGGCTTTTGAATTTTACAGGAAATGATGATACCAGAGACATTAGCTCAAAGCAGGCCTTGCATTCCCGCAAAATCCTTAGAAACTAGCAGCAACCCAGGCCAGCTATACAAAGCAGGCAGATTGTCAAGTCTGTTGGTCCCTGGCTGGGGTTTCTTAGCATCTGAGCCAAAAAGAGGTGGGGAAATGACTGATGGACGTTATATTTTAGACAGAAAGAGAGAGAATTTCTCCATCTTTGCTTCTTTTACTTTTCTCCGTGGAACACTAGACCATATTGCAGATTTACATGAATAGAAACATAACAATCAGTCCAGACAATTAGGAGCTGTCATTTGTGAGAAGTTCAGCAAGCTTAAACTTAGTCCATCCTCAAGGTGGCTACACCAATACCATTCTAATTTAATTTGTTTTGGCTGACTGTTCGGTTCGCTCAGGATAGAAAGGACACAAAAGGATCTTAAAAGCCTTTCAGGGCTCAATCACACCCTTTGCTTTGCAAGGAAATTAAATAACACTGTATCAATAGCAGATAATGGTATGCTATTTATGAATCAATACAAAATAATTTTTCCCTTCCTTTATTAAACTTACCGTAGGTCAAGATGTCCCTTCAGTCTTTCCCTTAGAAATGTAATTTTCTCGCCTACTACTTCTGTGCTAAGTACTTTTCCCCTCATTTACGCCTCCAGTAATCGTGTAAGTCTTCTGAGCAGGCCTCCAAGCCGCTGAAGCCTGCATGGCCAGCGTGGCCACTTGCTCCTTGAATCAATTACTGAGTCAAATGACTTTTTGAGTGGTAAAATCATGAGAGTTCTTCCTGGGCTTTGACACTGTTGATCATTTGATGCTTGAAATTCTCTACAAAAATCCCTGCAACAAGAATGGGGCAATGAAAGGCGACTCAGATCCAATTAAGACTATCTAAGGCTGCCCTGAGCGATCCACTCTAAAACCCAAGCCCACCGACATGTCCCACAAGCCCTCTGTCCTCAGAGTGGTCCCTGCATTTTGAGATAGCCATTATTGCTTCTTCACCGTACTTCTGACTTTCTCTGCTTTTAAATCTACTTTTAAATACCTTTTCATCTTTCAAAATTCAGGTTGTGGTAGCTTCTGGAGGAAGATTTTCTTGGAATTTCTCATCCCAGGTCAAATTGTTCGTTGTCAGTAAAGACTTTGTGTATATTTAAGGAGGCATTTATCTTATTGGGCATAAATATGTACTTCTAGCAAAGTGAAGTCTTGTTTTTCAAAGATAAGGACCTTATTCTGTCAATCTCTGTTTGACCAATGCCATGTTTCTTGGGCACATTATCAGTGCAAGTAATTAAGGCTTAAACATCTCATTCTCTTCTGCTGGTTCAGCCACCTGCTCTGTAAACACGTGTGCTTTTCGGGGCTCCTGAGGCTTTTCAGGGAAAGGAGATGTTACCACTTGATTCCTTGTGTGTGCATGAGGGAGTTGTTGTTCGAATGCCTTCTGCGTTTACCAGTTTGCTTCCTATTAGCCCCCTTCATCCTAGATTAGGGGAGAGAAAGGAAGAGGATCAGAAGGTGGTGAAACAACTGTGAAAAGGATTTGTGGAAAGTTTCACCAGTGCTGTAATTCAGCAAAAGCTGTCCGAGATGCAGGCTGTCTGCAGAGCACAAGGCAGTAACCCTGGCTGCCCCCCAGCCCCAAGCTCTGTTCTTTCAGCTGGAAAGAACGGCAAGCACTTCAGCAAAGCGTTATGCTCGCTTCAAGGTTTGCCAGAGGGCTGGGGATTTAGCTCAGCGGAACAGCACCTGCCTGGCAAGCGCGAGGTCATGAGTTCAATTCCCCGTACTGGGGGGGGGGGGGATAGTTCAGCGGCACAAGCGCCTACCTGGCAAGCACAAGTTCCCGAGTCTGATTCCCAGTACCAAAAAAGGAAAAACATTTCGGGGCTGGGGACTTACCTCAGTGGCACAGTGCCTGCCTGGCAAGTGGGAGATCATGAGTTTGATTCTCAGTACCAGAAAAAATCCAAAAAAAAAAGGTTTGCCAGAGTTTGAGAACATAATCTGCAGTTTAGACCAAGGGTTTTAACTGAATGTGCGAAATGTGCAAAGTCTCTATTTCTGTACCATGGCCATCTAGAATACTCTGCTCTGTGAGTCTTCAGCATTTTCAAGGAGTGTTTAACCAAACACTGCTACCACCGCAGGGGAAGACATTGTATGGTTAGGTCAGTTAGAGAAATGCAACTCACTGTAGTCGTCATCTAGAGTTTGGAACTGGACTTTGGCATATCAGACGCTCTGGTGAGTTCTGCAATAAGATTCTTGTTTAACTTGGAATTTTCACAATTTACTTGACCACAGAAGTCTCCGACAGTCCCCTTCATCCTACTTTAGGGAGGACTGAGTTGAGTTATTTGCATTCAGTTTAATACTTTCGCATGGAAGGATTTTATTTCAGAGACAGTGCAACAGAGAAAAGTAATCTGAGTCTCACTAATGGCTTAAATCAGAGCTTTGGGCACCTACCGTTCAACTTTCACCACATTGGAGGCACACACAGAATTGAAAGTTTAAATTGATGCACCCTGAGATGTGTTTCAAAATATGGGTATAAAATACAGATTGCCTACAGAGTTCCTGTGTGTACATAATACTGTAAGCTCTTTGTACACTGACACAGTTGTTATCTTCAGCCACAAAAAGAGAAGTGATGGTGATTTGGGGGGAATTAAGGAGAAGGAGAAAGAAAAATTAAAATAGGGGTAGGGAGAGAGCAAGGAAAGAAACCCTGTATTAAGATTATCCCCTGCCAGCAAGCAGTTTCAAATATCACGGCCAGATTTGCAACTTTAATGTTTCTTCGCATTTTCTTGTTTAGACCGTAGGGGAATACTGAGAAAAAATAGGTGACCTTTCATGTGGCTAATACAACAACCCACCTGCTTTAATCAAGATATCATGAAAGAAGCACAGTGGATCCATTCATCCTAATGTATGCCCCAGATGTTCTGATAGAGTGATTCAGCTGTGATAAATCCCGGGGTCGGGTTTAGTTCTTTTCTTTGCATTCCCTTGTGCTGAGCTAGTTCCCACACAATGAGCTGAATACAGTTCTAAGAAACCATTCTTGCTTTCTTCCTCTTCTCCATCACTTCCTCAGCCTGGGGATGAGAGATAGTATAATTCAGGCTCCTCTTGAAGTCCTATTTCAGCGGCAAACTGGCTGAAATACAGAGCCCCTGCCAGACTGACTTATCCCGAGGTAATGTAAGAACCAAAGATGTCATCAGTCTCTGTTACTTAACAATATACTTCCACGGCCCGCAGTCTGGCCTCGTTGCTTCCATTTCTGCCTCGTCCTCTCACACAACTACAAAAACGCCCTTGATCTTAAAACTCAAGTCCCTTTCAGAGTGAGAAAGGAGTTAGAAAGGACAGGCCACTTGAGAAAGTGTTCCTTGGGCTTTAATTCATTTGAAACCAATGGTTTCTGGGTAGGAAAATGGTGCAAGATGCCCAGCTTGAATGGCGAGTTAATGTTTGCTTAGTAAACCTTCAGCAGAATTGTGTTCATTGTGATGACTTTTAAATTGTAGGCCTCACACCATGTGCCTTTGGATGCTGTTGGACTGATTTTCTTCTGGGTGATCAATACTTTCTCCCTTTGCTTTTCCCGTGCCTCCTTTCATCCTGGTTTTCAGCATGGTAGCCTTTATTGTAGTGGTAAGGGGAACAGCACCACTTCTAGCAATGGTAGAAATGTGTGTGTACATATAGACACATATGTAAAATTTTTAATAAATAAGGTAGACAAAGACACACACACATACACACAGAAAACAGCACACATAGACTCAGTCACTGATTCCATGACCTCCACTGGAAATCCAATGAGCTTCTGCGTTGTTGGAAGGGACTGGCAGTTACGGTTACCACTATGCATAGGTATACCACATTTCTTACCCATTGATGCACTGATGGTCAGTGAGGCTGATTCAGTATCTTGGATCTTGAGAACAATGAATGCTTCAGTAAAAATGGGAGAGGAAATACCTCTGACCCACTGATTTCCTTTCTTGTACCTATATAGCTAGTAGTGGTATTTTTAACATTTTGAAGAACATCCATACTATCTTCCACATGGCTATATATCCCTACTAACAAAGTATAAAGTTCCTTTGTTCTCTCCCTGACATCACTGTGGGAGAATTTGATTGAGAAAAATATAGGTTAATCTGTACAGAATCTGAATTTGTTTTCTTCAGCTTCTCAAATACAGGCTATTTATAGACTACCACTTCTTCCGTGGAAACTCTCTTTCAAAAACAGATTACTGTTTTATGTTGGAGAGTTGAGTAGATAATGAAGGATAGTTATGAAACCCAAAATCAGGGAAAACATACACAAAGTTTTATTTCTGAAATCACCAACTATTACATTATCCTCTGATGCCACAGCTATATAAGCATTGTGCATATATCATTTAGATTTTATATTTTTAAAAAGTAATGAAAATAAGTATACCCCATACAAAACCTTGACATTCGGGGGCTGGGGATTTAGCTCAGCGGCAAAAGCGCCTGCCCGGCAAGCGCAAGGTCGTGAGTTCGGTTCCCGGTTCCCGGTACCGGAGAAAAACCAAAAACAAACAAACAAACAAACAAAAAAAAACCTTGACATTCAATTGTGATTTTCATAAAATGCAGAAAAATTCCAAGATATGATCACAGAAATAGGATGTGGTAGGTGGGAGTCACTAAAATGAGTGAATTGCAGGGCAAATCTAAGTTAAAAAAAAGGTGTCCTCTTAGAGAAACTCTTAGTGTTCAAAAGAAGAGGAAAGACAAGTCTCATTTAAGAAAATTATTACTCTTATTTTATCCATGAGTAAAACTGATATAATTAAACTGTGCCAAGGACACATAGTCCATGTTAGCAGTATTCATTCTAAGATAATTTATAGTATGTTTAACACACAAACACTTCATTCTAGTTATCCGGAGCCTTACTTTGTTAGCATAGTGCGTGTGGCCCTTTTAGTGACTGAGACACAAGACCCCAGCTCATTATTCCTGTGGTACCAATGGTTAATCTTCTGGCATCATCACCACCATCATCTTGTTATGACTGAAAGTGATGGAAAGTCTTGTGTTCACATCATGTCCAGAGACACAGCCAAGTTTAAAGCATTGATGACCCAGGGCCTTGGGAATCTTTGAGGTGTGGGATTCATCTACATGTAACCTGCTTAAGGAGAATGAACAGGCTCGCTCTTGGATTTCAGGTGAAAAGAATTTCTGAGGATCCCCCTTGCAAGTGCCCGAGCAAGTTCTGTGTGGAGCGGCTCTCCCAAGGAAGATACCGAGTGGGAGAAAAGATCCTCTTCATTAGGGTAAAGTTTCACTTTTACTTATCGCCATGTTTTTTATGAGGATATTCAAGATTTGGGAATATATGATGGGAAATATAACAAATACCTAACCAGGAACTTCCTTATGACGTTTACAGTAGGAATGAACCATAAGGTATGAACTTTTTTTTTAAAGTAGTGTGCATGATAGAGTATTACTAAGAACTAAATAAATACAATTATGCTTTTTATATTTAAGCAAACATATGAAGAGATAAAAAGGTCAAATACCAATAAGGAAAAATATATTCACTTTTGTTGCATTTAGTTTCAAAGGAACCATCCCCAGCCTCCTCTCCTGCATGGGGAATAGGAATAGCATTTTTCCCTGCTTTCTCATGCCTTTCACTAGAAATCTATTTTGTTAAATATCAAGATAATTTAAGGAGATTGTGACTTCTGGTAAGACTAAAAGTACCTCTTTTAAAAATATAAGGAAATAAAAAGTATAGCACTGATGCATTCCCAGAAATTTCAGTAAAAGCATGTTTCTGCCTTATTTTTGAGTCATTTACTGAAGAACAGGGATTATGATTCAAAGGAGTTATTTCCCTTCTCATTTGAGTAAATTACACATATCACTTATTATTTGCAGAATAGAATGACTTGAATGTGTGAATTTGTCATAATCAATGAACCTACTCAAATCTCTAGTGAACCCATGGAAGTTCTGTTGCTGTGACATTTTTTTAATTGCAGCTTTTGCCTGAAACTTACTTGTATGACAAGTCTTTTCAAGGGCTCTGATGCCTGTATGTGAAGAAACATTCTATCATAATTTACTTTTAAAATTTAGTAATGTCAATCATTATGTATTTTAACCTAATTTTAAGTCAATCTTTACAGAATTTTTTTTTTAATTTCCAGGAAATAATTGCTATTCTGCTTTGAAATGGTACCAGGAGGGATATAAGAATATTACTTTTAAAGGTTGGGAATAAATGTGGATGGGTAATCTCAGTAGGAAACACAATTTCCTGGGTTGCTTATTTTGTTATTGTTCGTGTTCTTTATTGCAAGAATAACATATTTTTATATGTTATAGGCCTGGCTGACTGTTTTCACTTTACTGCATTAAACAATAATGATTTAGAATCTCCACGGATGGTTTAAAATTCTGCCCGGCTGACCTTTCTCAGTAAAGGGTCAGGCTCCCTCTGAATATTGGGCTCTAGAGCCTAGAACCAAAACAGAGGACTTTAGTCATTTAAAAAAGCTTTCTTTTATAATAGAAATATTAATAAACACATAATTATAAATTAGATGGTTTTCTTTTTCTTGTAACCTAGTATCTTCAGGGAAAAGTATACATTGCATATGCTTACATATCAGTGACTTATTTAACTATTGTCATTTTGTTCTAATGCATTATGAGGAAATGGCATTTATTACTCAAAAAGCTTCAGAGTGGGGCTGGGGATTTAGCTCAGTGGCACAGCACCTGCCTGGCAAGCACGAGATCGTGAGTTCAATTCCCGGTACTGGAAAGAACCCAAAAAAACAAAAAAGCTTCAGAGTGTTGAATTGATTTTCAAACAGTTTTCAGGTTGCTGTTGCTAATACGTGAATGGTGTTGTTTTGAACACCTGTGTTAAATAGTAAGGCCCTGTAATTAAGTCCCCACACACACTAGAAGGATGATCACCTCACAATAACTTTATCATAGGTCTATATTTTTTAAGTTTGCACTTTCGGGTCATGCTTTAAAATTTATCACATCATTTTATGAGGCTTATATGGTCTTAGTCACCTGACTATGTTTATGTATATTGGTCTACAAAAAATACAGACAACAAAACATGCTTGGGGTCTTAGGATTTATCCCCTAGCTTTCTGTCTATCTAGGAAATAGTGTCTCCTTATTGTCATAATGGACCTGTCCAATTCAAAGGACAAAGTAGTGTCTTTAAGTATATTAAGACTATTGGCTTTACTCCTAAACACAATTATCACACCACTGACTCAGAAAGAATGACCCTGCTGAAAGTTACACGCAAGGTTCTCTTAGGAAGCCTGTTTGTAACACAATTACACTTGACTCACTCCTCTTCATGTAAGCCAGACTTCACATTACTGCCATTAACCCAACCCCGTTATCACTGTATGATTATGTACGTATATAAACATACCTTCTCTTTATACATCTAAACAATGATGAGAGGTGAAAATTTTAAAACCGTAAAAATGTGTACAGATTTCAGTGAAAGATCCAGGAAGATATTTTCTGTGTGGAGTATGTCTGTTAAGCATATTCTTTATCTGTTGATTTTTAGAAACCAATGTAAGGATAGATAGTTCTCATAAATCTAACATACTTACATGTAGATGTGTCCATATGATTATGTGGTCACATTTGTCTATATAAATACATCTCCAATTACAGGTAAGGAATTAATCTCTACCTAAATATAAAAAGTCTTCAGGGTAAGGAAAAAATCTTTTTGCTTTTATTTAAATGTCCTAAAACCCCCTGGCAAAGGGGAATTTTTTGTTATTGTTGTTGCCACCCAATCAAAGACGATTTCCAAAAACCAGGTTTTTGCACATACTTTTCACTGAGCAATCTTGTTCTTTAAACTATCAAATGCAACTAATTTGTATCTATATTATACAGATATACACTTACTGTCTTTCAAGGTTATGTGTATTTCAGTTATTTTTGAATTTACATGGTGATGATAAAATCTCCCTACCAATTTCTGCAGTAGCAGAGATTTGAATATTTCCAATCAGTCATGATATGTATCTTTGAAATATACATAGATGGATTAGTGGTGTAAGGTCTTGATTTCTAGGAAGAGAGAATTAAGAATTTTTCTCCTGTTCTTTTGCTTATTCAGTTGATTGGTACCACTTGGCTTAAGTATGAAACCATTTGGCAAAAACTGAATCAGAGACTTCAAGATGGGCTGGGATATAGCTCAGTGGCACAAGCACCTGCCTGGCAAGCACAAGGTCCTCAGTTCGATTCTTGGTATCAAAAAAAAAACCAAAGAAAGAAAGAAAGTTCAAGATTAGGGCCCAAATATCTGTGGCATAGCAAGGGCACCTGTAATTCTGATGTGTGCTGAAATTTGAAAATCAGTCACCTTTAGGAAGAGAAAGCTATGAAAAGGCACTCAATGTAGTATAACATAATGAGAAATTACTTCGTGTCTGCTCATGAAAGAATATTAACACTGTGACACTAAAAATTATTATTTTAAAGTTTTATGTATTGTTAAGAGAAAATGCATCATACAAAATGTTCAGGGGAGAAAAGGCATTTCGGTTACATTTCCACATAAAATGGCTTATATTGAAATGATACATTATTATGAAAAAAAGACTTGAATAGAACAAGAATAACTGAAAATAGTTTCTAACTGTTGATATACAATTATGAATGAACTAATTTTTGTTCACATTTATTTCTTATCATTTTCTTATGATAGTAAAAAAAATGAGCCAAAAAAATTAAGCAATCTGATACAGTTGCAAAGTTGGAATTAAATCACAGGTCCTTGAAAGTTGTCAGATTAATCAGCTGAGTCCTCATTTTAACAGTCCTTTGGCTAAGCCTCTCAAGAAAAGGGTAGAAAGATTTATTGCAGACTTTGCGCTCTTAGGCCTGGGAGGATGTAGCATTTTGTTTTGAACTTGGAACATACTTTTCCTTGGATGAAGTGCTTATATTTTCTCCTCTTTGCTATTTTATGTCTGCATTTTGAAAACTCACATTGTTGAAAATGGGCCCCAGGAAAAATGCAAATATTAATCTACAGTCTCGATAATATGTTTTCTCTTTGAAGACCTCACAATCCTTCAGCCACACATTTTATTTCTTTTTATTAATCATTAAAGCTTTCAGCACTTGGTGTTCCATTCCTTCAGGGCCCAGTATTTAGGGACATGAAAATACCCTAATGTGATAAACTGATCTGACTGATCTCTGCTAATGTATGAAATGGATGTACATGGCTCCAATGACTAGAACACACACAGGTAACATCCTTACACTTAGCAGAGTTGCTCGTATGCTTTAGCTGCAAGACTTCCTGTTGGTGGAGTATGTTGTGAGATAGCTTATGTTTTGGGGGTAGCTTGCTTAGGCATTAATGTGATGAATGCCTTTTTTTCAGGTAGTCAGAATTTGTCAGTACCATAAAATTGTACTTTAGGGCTGCTTAAAATATATGCCAAAGAATAATTGTTCTGATACTCAAGTCATAATTTGTAGAGACACAGTAAAGAGTTTAAGCAGACTTTCATAATGATTCTTACTACTGACAATTGACTTTGTTCATCTCTCCTAAACGCTTGATATATCTCATTACAACTTCTCAGACCTATGTGGTAAATAATGTTGTTATTCCCACTGTACAGTTGTGAAAGCTGACACAGATGTTGAATATGTTCCTCATACCATAAGCTATTTGCACATAGAATCGTGATTCAAACTCTGGCAGCTTAACTCCTGAATTTGTACTCCTTATGACTAAATAATACTAATTTGTTTGCCTGGAATTTCTTGGATGTTTCAATATATTAATAGAATCTGTAAGCCCTTAGAAAGAATTATACTGTGTAGCGTTTTTCACATATTCTTAACCATAGAAATAATGCTCATCCCATCATTCGTCCAGAGCATTATCCTAGGCTAGAAGATTAGGAAGGCATATTTTGAGAAAGCTCCCGTAAATCTAAGAAATTTTTTAAAGTAATCAGTAGCAAGAATTATATGGAAGTGAGAGATTTTTATTTCTTCCTCACCACAGTTAAAACCCGAACATTTTAAGTTACTAAGAAGAATAATTCAAATTGTGCTCCTTTTTCCATCAAGTTCCATTTAGAAAAGATTATTTCCAAGGAAATGCATAGGAAATCTTTACAAGAGAGACAATTAGAATTTGATAAAGGCCATTTTTGCAGACATTTCACCAGGTACTTTATATACATTATCTGACACACTCCTCTCACCATAGAGTGAGAATATTGCTTTC